CAGATCAGGAGATGTAACATCAGCACACATGAACTTGACGTTCTTATGGTGGCCATTAGTGCTTTCATTCTGAAAGTAGCATATCAGCACTATTAATAAACAAATAGCAGTCTCGCTTTCACTTTGAGATGCAAACCAAAACATTGATCTTGGCGTTACCTTCTTTATCACACTGTCAATGAAGTCCAATGCGACAAGCTGACCAGCCTTTTGAGCTAACTCTCCAGTGAAACGACCAATCCCAGCTCCCAGTTCCAAAACAGATTTACCCTCATATGGAGGGAGCATAGAAAGCACCTGATATGATCCAGTTAAATCAAGTCCTCGACATGGGATATTGACCAAATGAAAACATCATATAAAATACACCAAATTTATAAATTTGAAAAAGAAAACAAAATGATTAGAAAAGGAAGTGGATTTCTCATCCTCACATCATAGAAAGGCAAAAGGCTGAGAGAGTGCATATAACCTCAAAACATCATTGCTGAATAAACAACAAGCAAAAAGAAACATCAACGGAAAAATTATTCTGAATGCCAATAGCTTTCCACTCTCAGAAAGTTGTACTTTTTTCCCATTTACTGGTAACCACATATAGAGGAGGGGAATAAACTTGGGAGTTGTTGTCTACAAAGAAATGTGTGATAATCAAATGAATTATACCCGAGGTCATATTTGAGTCAAGGACCATAGTTTTCTTCTCATTTAGTTATCCAGTGAAGGGCTGAAAAGGCTCTGTTAGCTTCGGCATTGTAACCATGGGACTGATTCATGGGGAATGTTGTTAATGTTTCATTTCTCAAATAATCAGAGCACTGTTAAATTCATATCAGAGGGTTCTCAAATCAGTCTTCAGTTCAAAAATCAATTCCCATTTCGCTCAGGTTTTGTTCCATGGTTCAAACAGATTTTAGTAACGGTTAGAAACACAGAGTCCTCTGCAGCCAATACCTCACCAATTCAGCAGCATTGTCATTTTTCTATACAAAACATGTATGTTATATTATATATATGATATACATAGAGATATACCTCAGGTCGCTCTTCTTTGTCAAGATCAGAGGCTTTGGAGTCGAGCATCATGGCCTCAACGGTCAAATCTGCGGAGTGCTCCATCCAATAGTTCTTCTGAACGTCACGCTCTTGTCCTACACAAACCAATCTTAGATAAAACAACAACAACAGCAAAGGAAAACTCAGATCTGAATCACATACAGAATTAGCCTCAGGATTAAGTAAAAACAACGAAAATGCCCCCGTCATATTCATACCATTAGCAGCAGCCATTGTAGACCGAAATGGGGAGAGAGAGAGACTGAGCAGCTGAAAATTCGAATGAGAGAGAAAGAGAGAGTGAAATGTGAAGAAGAATAAATGGGGCTAGGAACCCTCAATAGCAATGCGTGATCTGGAAAAGCTCCTTGATCTTCGGTCGTGAGCTCTGCCTCTCTGCTGCATATAGCACTGTTGACTGCACCGCACCGTCTTGCCCGATTGCTAAGAATGACTACGATGAGAGTTTCACTCGTATTTATAATAAAGAATAGACACGGGGCACTTTCGTCATTTTGAATTGTGGGTCTGATGGGTGGGGTTATGCATTTGCCG